GCCACCTGCTGGCAGAGGGTAGTTTGGCTTGTAACTCGGCCACACAATGTCCGATCTGCCTGAAACTTCACATGGTTGATGAAAGTCCTCTCCTGAGCACATCTACATGATAATATTGAGTCTTTAATAGCGCCACCTGCTGGCAGAATGTAGTTTGTCTTATAACACAATCTCCACACAATCTCTTATCTGCCTGAAACTTCACATGGTTGATAAAAGTCCACTCCTGAACACATCCACATAACAATATTGAGTCAGTCATAACGCCACCTGCTGGCAGAAGGTAGTTTGGCTTATAACTCAGCCACACAATGTCCCATGTGCCTGAAACTTCACATGGTTGATTAAATTCCTCTCCTGAAGACATCTACATGCCAATCTTGAGTCACAGTTGTAGCGCCACCTGCTGACAGGAGGAAGTTTGGCATAAATCTGTGATTTTCTTAGTTTTTTTTTAAATATATTGGCTTATATTATTATTGTTCGCTGTTCTCTGTCATCGTAAGGTCACCGGGCGGCGGTGAGCCCGGGTGCGAGGTCCCTATCATCGCTGCTTGCAGCTTTAATTTATTATTATTATTCCGCCCCCAATCGGGGCACTTTTGAGGGTCTAAACATGCCCGAAAACTCACGAAAATTTGCACACACACCAAACGCGGTGTAAATGGCTGGGTTTTAGGGGGTTCGGAAGTGGGCGTGGCAAAATGACTCGACAGCGCCACCTAGAAAAATTAAACGGACGAGCCCCCGATCCACGAATCACGCACATTCACGAAAATTGGCACACACCTCAAACATGCCAAAACATACGAAAAAGTCTCTTGGAGCCATATCTCAAACCCAACAGGAAGTCGGATATTTTGTACTTCCTGCGGCGAAAAAGTGGCGATTTTGCCATTTTCAGGCGTTGTATTTTAACGAACTCCTCCTAGGGATTTTATCCGATCGACACCAAAATTTGGTTTTGTCATCTAAAGGCCTTGGCGATGTTAAATTGCGAAGCTTTAGAGTTTTCGTCGATGGGCGTGTCCGTGGCGGCCTCTCAAACTTTGACGATTCGCCACAAAACAGGAAGTTGTTATAACTCAGGCATGCATCACACGATCTGCCTCAAAATTCACACGTTTGATAAGAGTCCTCACCTGAACACGTTTACATGCCCATATCCAGATACAGTTATAGCGCCACCTGCTGGCCACAGGAAATGACATGTTTTACATCGTAACAAACTCCTCCCACAAATTTTTTGGTATCAGCACCAAATTTGAGTGGCGTCATCTGAAAGCTCTATCGGTGATATATTGTGAAGATCTAGAGTTTTCGCAGAGGGGCGTGTCCGTGGCGGCATGACAAACCTCAACGCTTCGCCATGGAACAGGAAGTCCTCAAAACTCAACCACACAAAGTCTGATCTGCCTGAAACTTCATATGGTTGATAAAAGTCCTCCCCTGAACACATCCACATAACAATATTGAAGTGGGCGTGGCAAAATGACTCGACAGCGCCACCTATAAAAATTAAACGGACGAGCCCCTGATCTACGAATCACGCACATGCACGAAAATTGGCACACACCTCAAACACGCCAAAACATACGAAAAAGTCTCTTGGAGCCATATCTCAAACCCTACAGGAAGTGGGATATTTTTAACTTCCTGCTGCAAATAAGTGGCATTTTTGCCATTTCCAGGCGTTGTATCTTAACGAACTCCTCCTAGGGATTTTATCAGATCGACACCAAAATTGGGTTTTGTCATCTAAAGGCCTTGGCGATGTTAAATTGCGAAGCTTTACAGGTTTTGTCGATGGGTGTGTCCATGGCGGCCTCGCAAACTTTAACGATTCGCCACAAAACCGGAAGTCATTATAACTCAGGCATGCATTATCCGATCTGCCTCAAAATTCACACGTTTGATAAGAGTCCAGACCAGAACACATTTACATGCCAATATCCAGATACAGTTATAGCGCCACCTGCTGGCCACAGGAAATTACATGTTTTAAACTGTAACAAACTCCTCTCACAAATTTTATCGAATCAGCACCAAATTTGAGTGGTGTCATCTGAAAGCTCTAGCGATGATATATTGTGAAGATCTAGAGTTTTTGCAGAGGGGCGTGTCCGTGGTGGCATGACAAACCTCAACGCTTCGCCATGGAACAGGAAGTCCTTATAACTCAACCACACAATGTCCGATCTGCCTGAAACTTCACAGGGTTGATAAAAGTCCTCTCCTAAACACATATACGTGCCAATATTGAGTCAGTCATAACGCCACCTAGTGACAGAAGTTAGTTTGGCTTATAACTCAGCCACACAATGTCCAATCAGCCTGAAACTTAACATGGTTCATTAAATTCCTCTCCTGAACACACCTACATAACAATATTGAGTCAGTCATTGCGCCACCTGCTGGCAGAAGGTAGTTTGGCTTATATTTCAGCCACACATTGTCTGATCTGCCTGAAACTTCACATGGTTGATAAAAGTCCTCTCCTGAACACATCTACATAACAATAATAAGTCTGGCATAGCGCCATCTGCTGGCAGAAGAAGTTTGCCTTATAACTCAGCCACACAATGTCTGACCTGCCTGAAAATTCACATGGTTGATAAGATTCCTCTCCTAAAGACATGTACATGCCAATCTTGAGTCACATTTATAGCGCCACCTGCTGACAGGAGGAAGTTTGCCATAAATCTGTGATTTTCCCAGGTTCTTTATTTATATTGGCTTAAATTATTGTTGTTCACTCTTCTCTGTCATCTTGAGGCCACTGGGCGGCGGTGAGCCCGGGTGCGAGGTCCCTATCATCGCTGCTTGCAGCTTTAATTTCATTTGTATCTTTTTCTTTATTGCATTTATCTATGCTTGTACATAGTTTATTATATTTTGCGCAGATGCACTCTCCTATAGAATCATCCCAATCAATCTAAAATCATTCATTTATTACAAATAGAGATATTTAAGTCACCTGGTGAAATTGTATTCTTCATATTGTGATATAGATGGCAGAAAAACAAAACATTTCAATGCTAGAATTTGATATAGGGTTAGGGTTATTATAATTAGAAAAACTAAAACCATTAAAAGTTAACCGAAATAAAAATCATCACAAACTGGAAAAAAAATGCTATTACATTCACTGGATGTAAGAATAACTGCAGGTTGCAGGTCACAGGCTTTTAAGAAAATATGGGAGAGAGATTTGAATCTGACATTTGATGACGAAGAGTGGCAAGGAAAAATGTTAAAACAGCATCAAGGGATGCTAAAATACTCCTTATACCTTTAAAATTACACACCATTTTACTGGGCCCCTTTCAGACTGTTTAAGCTCGGGTTAAAATATAAACCTTATTGTGGGAGATGTAAGATCGAAAATTTAGTTCATGCTCTTTGGTCTTGTACAAAAATTCTGGATTTCTGGAAAAGAGTTCATGAACACATTTGCTGGGTTTTAGATTTGCATATTCCACTTTGTCCTAGATTGTTTATTCTAGGTTATCGGACAGACAATGAAATAAAAGATAAAATCCTGGGTCCAGAACAGTTTACTGATTGACAGACAAATAATTCTTAGGAGCTGGAATTCGGAAGATGCCCCTTCTCTTCAGATTCCCCTTCAATTCACTACTTGGGCAGTAGAACTTGCTAGCGTGGCTGCATTTGAAAAAAATGTCTTATAAGCAAATGGACAAGCTACACCTATACTATAAAAATGGTCCAAGTACTTAACCTGTTTGGAAATGGAACAGTAATAAATGTGTGAGAAATATACTGATTATGACAGTTTAAATGTGATATGAACTTACTTTATTATTATTTTATAATTATATTATATTAGTATATTATTTTATATTTATTTTCATTATATCAAGTTGGAGGCTTTAACTGTAATGATAGCCAAGCAGGGACCTTAAAGTCATAGTTAGGGATTCACTTGGGTTGGATTTGGTAATAAGGTAAAATTTTGATTCTTTACAGAGTTGGATTTTGTATTGTAAATCTGAAATTTGCCTAAGAATCAATAAAACTGTTAATCACTAGAATTATTTATACAATAACTATACAGCATTATTTTGCAGTTGATAATTCAATTACTGTACCTGAACACTGTGAAGACTCATCAGAAAACCATAAACATGGTTTATTTAATCTTTTACTTTTTTCTATTTATCTATGCTTGTAGATCGCCTATTATATTTTATGCAGATGCACTCTTCTACAGAATCATCCCAATAAATCTAAAATCATTGATTCTATCCAAATAGAGATTTCCAAGTCACCTTATAAAAAATGTGTTCTTCATATTGCGATATATATATATATATATATATATATATATATATATATATATATATATATATATATATATATATATATATATATATATATATATATATATAAAAAAACAGAAAAACAAAACATTGCAATGGTAGATTTTTCCAATATAATGCAGCACAAATAAACCACAATCAAAAATAACATTAACTAATCAAAAAAAATCAACATAACATTTACTGGATGTTACAATCCCCTCAGAAAGAAACATCAATTCAATAGTATTTATTTAAATTAACTTTTTTCAATCATTTTTCATTTTCCTGTTGTAGCCAAATTGGTTCAAACGTTTGGTGAAAGTCCGTTGTATGATATCAATTGAAGATTTTGACAATGACTACCTTTACAAGAACACAAGTAATCCAATGATTTGCCTTAATCTGAATAAGACAATAATATAATTAAGGTGTTTACATGAGCTGCTTTTTGTATGTTCCTTTTATAATCTCGTTTTACATGTTATAGCACATAAATTGATTAATGTCATTGCGTCACCACGCTATCCACATGGAATTTCATGTATTGTCTAAATCGTATTAAATTCTGATTATTGGTGTCCATGTAAATGTACTCAGTGATATCTTTAACATCACAACTCTTTAATTAGTATGTATATATTCATTATATAAAAAAAATAAAAAAAAGATGATTACTTTTGTTGTGTCGTGCATTTTCAATATGTCCTCCACAATCTCTGACACACTGGAATCAAACTCCTGAAACAAAGTAAAGCATAAATCATGAAGCATCATCAATACCTGACATGGAAAAAGGTCTCTAGTAGATGCAAGAACCACGATGACAGTTCAGAATGCACAAATCAATAATGATTAATCAGTGTGAATTTCATTTAAATGTATAATCCCGTATCAGTACATAACCGCAATAACATGACTGCATCTCATTTGCATTAATCAGCACATAAGCATATACATACATGTGAACAGATACTAGACACATTCATTTGTATAGCAACAAAACCAAACAGCTAAAACTACACAGGCTTATTTTTGTATCTGCAGAGGTAAAAGCAGGTTAAAAGCTACTCTGCACTTACAGGAAGAGTGTCTGTTCGGTTATCCTTCCACACCTCCAGCAGCGCCACCACCATCTCGTGGATCTCGTCCCTGGACAAAACTCCATCACGATCTACGTCGAACACTTTAAAACAAACTGCAATAGACAATAAAGAAGAGATGTAGATGGAAAGCTTTTAAATCATCTAAGGAAAACTTAATATGAGAGCTTAGACCACAAAACTAGTCGTAAAGGTAAAATTTCAGAAGTTGAGATGTTTGGATCACCTGAATGTTCTATTAATGTATGGTTTGTTTGAATATAATAATAGTTGGCTAAGATAGAATGGTTTAAAAATCTGGAATCAGAGGATTAAAAGAAATTTAAATATTAGGAAAATAAATTTTAAAGTTGCCTAAATTAGGCTATTAGTAATGCAAATTACTAATCAAAATGCCATTGGTCAATGGTGCTTTTCATCGATTGTTATATTCCGAAAATTGTTCCTATGTTTATTTTCGTTCTTGGTGTGGTTCACTTTCACATGGCAAAGTTTCTAAACAGACCAAAATAGTTAAAACAAGTCACGTGCAACTAAACTCACCTCGCATTGGTCAGAGTTCCATGGTTTATTTTATACAAAGCAACGGATTCTGCTCTCATACGTCATAGTTTTCATTTGTGACAATGAGAACTGAGACACTATAAACGACAAGGTGCAGTTTAATTTTAACACCGAAATTGTCACCAAGCCAAAACCAGAGAGATAAGACTTTCTCATACAGCCTCATTTCAGTTATAAAGCTTTGTAAAAATGGATTCTTTAATCTATTGAATCAAACAATCTATTTAATAACACTGGCTAAAAGTATGCATTATATAGGCTTAAATTATAAAAAGAAGTAACAGATGAACTGGGACTGCAGTAAGATCATGAAGCAGATTAATGTTGATCTTTCTTTCGAGGTGTCAATGCAGAAATGAACAAAACAATAGGCCTAATACAAAATATTTTAAAATCAAAATTTGGAAAAATATCAGATGGTAATTTCGGTCGATTTTCCTAATGGATAAACAGCACCTATAGTAGTAATATTTCAGCATGCTTTAGGTTTCGTATTCGACATGAAACACTTATCGGTACGAATAACATCCCGCTCTAATCATAATTCTCTCTTCATATAGCTGTATATATGGCTATTACATAACAATAATACACTGTTATATAGTGGTTCGTTACTTCGTTGGTTTGTCTTGCTTTCTCACTACAATCGAGCCGAGACAACCTCATTCAGGCCATCTCAGACCAATTGATTTGGTGCAGATCCGAGCGTGATTGTGGGTTTCACATAAGCCAAACAAACCGCACAAACTGTGCAAATCAGACAGGTTCCGAAATGAACGTCTAGGTGTGAAAACACTCCTAAATGTCTTCATGGAACATGATCTTCACCTAACATTCTAATGGATTGTGACATTAAAGAAAAATTATATATAATTATATAATTTAATTATAATAATAATTATATAATTTTGATTAATACAATGTATTATTGGATATTCCTACAAATATATCTATGCAACTTCAGAATGGTGTTGCACTCCAGGGTCACCTATTTTTTTTTTGCGATTTATCATCTTAAGTGCAAACATTATGACATATGACAACAAAATATATACACGTTTGACAGAAATACATATTTAGGTTTAAGTGTTATATTGATGCATAATAGTTAGAAAGTTACATTATTAAATATAAAGAATCATCAATTGCTCCAATCTATCAGCAGAAAACAAAATTAGTTGACATTTTCTTCCTCTGTCAATCAAACAGTACAATAATAAATTCTTGCACTAAAAACAATATTTAGGTCAAATACACAAATAAAAAATAAATAAAAATCATCATAATAATGAGAAGAAATATAAAATAACATTATTTATAAAACTTAACAGCTAGGGGTGTCAAAATTAATTGTTTCTTCGGTGCACCGCGATGCAGATGCGGACAATTCGGTATCAGTTCAGTAATAATCCTAACCGGTTATTATGTACTGACGTCATTTATCTCCTTTGCGCTCTGTGGCGAGGGAGGTGAGCGCAAGTATTTACACCACTCAGCCAACTCTGGGCCGGCCCGTGGCATAGGCACCATAGGCAAATGCTAAGGGCGCTGTATATCCAGGGGGGTGCCAGAAATGAGCGTGGTTCAGTTGGTTTTGTTTTCGATATTCCTGACACACATTCAGTTATAGACGGCAATAACTCAAAAACCTCTTACTCTAAAAAGATCTAAAGTGTGTTTCCTACAAAAAGACAAATCTGGTTTTGTTTCACAGCTGTCTTTCTTTTTTTTCGCTCAACATTACGAGCACTGCTCCGTTTAAGCCCTCGCAATATGTGTTTAGCTGGGAGAGCTTGCGCTGAGAGGAGCTCTCAGTAAATGACCGTCAGAAAAGTGCTTCTTTTTTTTTTAGTTTTTCTGCTCCGCTCTGCGCGAGCTCTCCCTGTTGGGAGGGCTTAAATGTGTGTGTGTGTGTGTGTGTGTGTTAGTTGGTTTATTTGTTTGGTTTTGTCTATGTTTGTGTATGTGTTTGAATGAGAGACAGTGTGGTGCTGTGTGTCTGTGTGTTTATACAGAGAGCTTGTTATAGCCTCCCCCCTAAAATATAACACTGTATATGGAAAGCATCGTCATTGCACTGTGATGCACCGAGAAATCGAATTGAACCGAATCAAAGGCATGATAATGGTAACCGAACCGAACCAAACCGTGAGACCAGTATAGGTTCACACCTCCATTAACAGCAATACAGATAAAATAAATACAAATATGCAAAAGGTACAGCAGTAAGAAAATAGATCTATTAAAAAAGGAAGAAATAAAAAAAAAAAACATATATAAATCTTTTATATTTTCTCTGTGCTCTCCATTTATAACTAAGCTTAAATACAAATTTTAAAGACTATTTATGCACATTAAAAAAGTCCTCTAACATCCACAATAATCCTGCATCTGCCTTGAAATAGGGTGAACAGCTAAGAGAGGATGATAAGCAATAATAAAAAGCTTACACTTCTGCCTCTCCGCTACTGGGCCGCGACAGCAAGCTGAGAGCCCACAGGATATCTCCTTAAAGTCAATATGATTGTCCCGATTCTCATCAAAGGCGTGAAACAAGCCTGGCAAATGGGAGAAAATGTCAGTGTTTAGATTAGCCAGAATGAGTAATTGGATTCTTTGGAGATCTTTTATCACAAATGATCCAATACATTTCAAAAGCGGAAAAGCACTTCTACTAAAATAAGATGAAGCGTGACTTTCCTGGGTACCGCAAATGTTTTCAAAGCATACAAGGAGTGTGTGGATGGGTGCGTATGTGTGTCTCAATCCATTTGAGAAGCTTTTAAAATTGGCATAATGAATTCGGTCTTACCTTCACTCAGCGATGCATGAATAGGGGGCGAGACCAGCGGGACAAAGGTTTCCAAATCAAAGCGGCCTGTCCTTGATTGAGCTTTCAGCAGCCAGTAGCGTTTTTCCAAGTCGATAATGTCTGATTCTTCTACTGCAAGAAAGGAAACACGAGAAATCTGATTCTCTTTGAAATAATTACACGGTGTCAAGCATCGGTTAAGCATGTAGTACATGTGTAACTGAATATCAGTGCCATATACATTAAGGGCTGAGAGTATTTTTTAAGTCTTTTTTGCTAACCAACACTGCATTTATTTAATCAAAACAACAAATATTCAACAACAACAACAACAAAATTGTGAAATGTTATTTCTGATTAAAATCATATCGAACATCGATATAGCAATGTGGAAATCTGCAATAGTACCATCGCAGGATCTACAATGCCAAGGTGGGATTACAAATAACCACAAATCAAAGTTCAGAACACATGCAAAGTTTAACCCTAATTAAGCGAAAGCTTTTTAAGGCCTGTAACTGAAAGATTTTAAGTTTAAACCATTTAGGCACAAGAAATGATCAAATATATAGCTTTAACACAAATCTATTGTACCTATTTATACAATCAATATATTTAAAGTGGATCAAAAACATTTTTCTAAATTATCCTGTGAAGGGGTGCTGTTGAATTGTCCAAGGACAACTTTGATGAAAGGTTTGGATCCACTTCAAATGTTGACCACTGTATACAATGCTATTTTACACTTGATTATTTAAATTCTGTTTATTTATTTCACTTGTTACTTAGTTGTTTTGTATCAATTTGTGCTTAAAATTTGTTTTTAATATACAGTGCTTAATTAGAAAATTGTGAGGTCCCGAGTTACCAGAGGAGGGAGGTGAAAGTAAGGACTTGGGGGATTTAACAGGGGGGACTGGTAAAATGAGGTGCCGGATCAGATTTCAGAGGTGCCGGATCAAATTTGTAAACAAATTTCCAGCACAAATTAAGCCCCGATTTTACTTTATGCAAATGCATTCCTTATCTATGTAAAAATATAAACAAATATAATGAATGTGAAATATATTTGTATTGAAAAAAATGCACAAAAGCACTTAACATTTTGAGCACACGGGCTCTTCATCAGACAGTCTTCTATTTATATTGCAGAATAACTAAATATTAAAATGTCAGTTATTCCCAATATCATAGGTGTAATGCAAAATGCAGTTTATTCCTGCAATTTAAAGAGAAATATTTAGCGTCACATGATTCTTCAGAAATTTTTCTAATATGCTGATTTTAACAAATACTGTGCTCAAGAAACTCATCATGTGCTGTCTATCATTTTAAAAGACTGTTATTCATCAACGACGATGTCAACATTTTACATAATACAAAAGATTTCATTTCAATACATATACTGAAATAATGCTGGTAAAGTATCAACCTACACAAACCTCAAATACAATATTTTATAGCGCGTAAAAGGAAAACACATAAAAGAGTGTCTCAAAAGATTTACATACAATACATGACACTAGTCTACAGTGAAAATGACAGGAGTTTTAATATGTAATATGTAAAGAATTATATGGGGGCAGCACAGTGGGTAGCATGAACGCCTCAAAGCAAGAAGGTCATTGGTTCGAGTGCAGCTGGGTCAGTTGGCACTTCTGTGTGGAGTTTGCATGTTCTCCCCGTGTTCGTTTGAGTTTCCTCTGGGTACTCTGGTTTCCCCCACAAGTCCAAAAACATGTGGTAGGCCCACAAAGAATCTGCGGGCGCACAATTTCGCAGATTTTCTGTAGAATTCCGCAAATTTTTAGTCCATCATTAATTCTGTTTATTTACTTGAGTAAATGTGTGTAAATCTATATTTATTCAGTTTTTAAATTAGTTACAGTAATATTATTGGCTAATATAAAATTGTTCATCTGATTTATGTACAGTGCAGTTTGTAAAGTAATATTTTTGGTCTTTTTGTAGAGATATTATATGAGAGATTTGCTTTGTTTACCAAATGAAGTGAATCTAATTGGATTTGCATTTTAAACATTAAATAAAAGTTTTAAAAAAAATGTTTTTATTCCACATATAAAGGTTTTAGTTATGATAATCCCAAAATAACTCCGCAGAAATCCGCAGATTTTTACCAAAATTCTCAGCAGAAATAGCAAAAAATATCCGCAGATTCTGTCTGGCCCTAGGTATAGGTGAATTGTGTATGCTAAATTGTAAAAAGTGTATGTGTTTGAATGAGTGTGTATGGATGTTTACCAGCAATGGGTTGCAAATGGAAGTGCATCCACTGTGTAAAACATGCTGGATAAGTTGGCGGTTCATTCCGCTGTGGCGACCCCAGATTAATAAAGGGACTGAGCCGTAAAGAAAATGATTAAATGAATGAAAAAGAATATATGATTAGCATATGTTTTTAGATCATTGTTACTTGTTAAACAAAGTTAATCATGTTCTAACTTAATTTCACAAGTTACGCGAGCTGTTTTAGTGAGTTTAACATAACATAAGTTCAATGGACTCATAAGGTTAATTTGATTCATCTTAAAAATTTAAGGCAAGCAGGGTTTTTTTTTTTTATGAGTAAAAAAAGAGTTCAAACACACCACCCCTGTAGTCCACAGTTTTATAGCACTATTTTGTCATTTTCCGAGCTTTCCCTTTTATTATAACAGCGTTCAACTTTGTAATGACATCAGGAAACATATACACTAATACAATTTTAATATTCAGGCAAATTATTTATGTAGAAAAAGACATGGTCGGTGGTCTGTGGTGACTGACATTAGGATAATTAACATTTATGATGAGCGATTACATAACTACATCTAAGAGAAAGCATGACTCAAGCACCTCCATATATATAGTCCAGTCTTTTAGTGTGTTGAGGTTAAGAGGACCCAGGTCAACTCTCTTGCTTTGCAATAATCTCTAGCTTAGGCTAATAGGATTGCTCTTGTCCCTCCCACACTGACCGTCACACATAAGGCAAGTGTCAAAACACAGCAATACAAATCTGATCTTTTGTTTAGCCTGATGTTTATTTTATACTCCTCCTACCTCGCCTTTATTGCCCACAACACAATACATTTTAGTGAATGCACTTCATAAATAAATAAATGAGCAAACTGATCCATACAAAAAGCATATCCTAGGGGGGTTCTCGGGACAGGAATGAAAGGCATCTTAATGAACAGGCCCTGGATCTCCGCTGTTATCTCAGACTCCTGAAGCACTGCTAAATCTCTATGGTTTGACGGGCAATTGGGAGTCTGATAGGATTGGGTCAATAGCCATTATTTCCTATAATGCTCTAGGAGAGAATGGCTATACTTTCTGAGGGACGTAAAATGAAAGGAAAAACAACAAGCATTTAGGGGATTTATTGGGGTACGAACCCTTCAGACATACATTTCGATCAATGATTCGGTGTCAATTGAGAGGCGGTTATGAGTGGAAATCTATTATGACATAAAGGAAACAGTGGAGTAAATACAGGCTTCACATCTTAGCATCCACATAAACAAATTTCCCAGTGGAAATGTAGCTTCATTACAATGCGCCGTGTAATTAATGCAGTGATCAAGAATTATCATAATTCAGAGCAGCGTTATTATTAAGAACAATAATTAGTTGAGGAGGGCTGCAGGGAGCTGAAAAACTGCTTGAGTGTTATTCTGTGTTTGTGCATTGGACAGAGACTTCTAATCTATAATACGTATTAAGCGCCGTACGGATTGCTCATCCAGATTGTTTACAGGCTTGATTGTTGTGGTACATCTTAATATGAGGCATCATGTGGTTCATTTCAAGCGAGCTGTGGTCCGTGATTTCCTCTTGTCCAGCTATGCATTAAGGCTCGTGTGCTACCGTTGAGCCTTTCAAGCTGTCAAAATCCATTTCACCCATTACTTGCGCCACATTTATATGACTTTTTCTTTTCTGTAAGAAGCGACAAATCGCACATCCAATGACGGAGCAAAAATGACAGGCCTGTACTGAGACACAATGATAGTCAATACCACATAAACCTTCCACTGTGAACTGTCTAATATTGACAAAGATTAATCAATGCTGTCATAATATGGTGCTCACTGTTAGCAAAAACATATTTTTATATGTAGCATATATTTATAAATGCAAATTCAATTGCTCAGAAAATAATATTATGATAAAATATACATATTAATACAGATATAAAGTTTATTTTAATAAAGTTAAAGTTTAAAATAAAAATAAAGTTGATTTTTTTTCAGAAACTTAATTAAAATTAATTCATTAATTCATTTTCTTTTTGGCTTGGTCGCTTTCAGAGGTCGTCACAGTGGAATGAACCGCCAACTTATCCAGCATATGTTTTATGCAGCGGATTTAATTAAAATGAACTGTTATTAAAAATGTAAAAATTTAATAATAAATGTTATAAAATGTCAAACTAAAATCAACTGAACAACTAATTAAAACAAACATTATACATTTACTTTCAACTGCAACATTTGTATATTTATTTTCAACTGCAACATTGTATATTTACTTTCAACTGCAATTGGAAATCAGAGTTTCTAGAAAAATATTGAGCGCCTAAACTGGTTTTACATTAATAAAAAGAAAAATGACTTGTGCATCAGATAAAAAACTGAATAATAAAACATACATATTAATAAATAAGTAAAGTATATTTTAATAAAGTTAAAGTTTAAAATAAAAATAAAGTTGATCTTTTAAAAACTTAATCATTTTTATCAGCAAAGACAAAAAAATAACTCTTATTAAAATATAAAAATTGTACAATAAATGTTATAAAATGTCAAATTTAGTTCAATTAAACAACTAATTTAAATAAAAGATTTCAATAAACGTTAATAATAAACATTGTATATTTACTTTCAACTGAAAGTGAAACGATCATAATTTTTAGGAAAATATTGAGCAGCACAACTAGTTTTACATTAATAATAAGAAAAATTACTTGTGCATCAGATTAGCATATTATTTCTCATCAGCAGAACGATTTGTGAAGGATAATATGACACTAAACCTGGATTAATCCTGCTGAAAATTCATCAATGTCATCAAAAGAATTAATTAAATAGACCCATACATTACAGCAGAAAACACATTCTAAATGG